TAAACAGACTGTCAAGCATAACCCAAAATGCACAAACAATTGAAGATAAACTAGATGAATGGGATCTTCTAAAAATTAAATTTTTATGTGCTTCCAAAGACTTCTCTAAAAGAGGAAAAAAAGAACCTACAGATGGGAAGAAAATATTTGGCAATGACATATCTGACAGGGGTCTTACCTCTAAAATTTATAGAAAACTCCAACACCTCAACAACAAAAAGATTAACAATCCAATTAAAAAATGGTGAGAAGACATGAATAGACACTTCACCAAAGAGGATATTCAGGTAGCCAGCAAATACATGAAGAAATGCTCATGATCATTAGCCACCAGAGAGATGCAAATCAAAACAGCGGTGAGATACCATCTTGCCCCAGCACTAAAAGCAAAGTTCAACAAGACAGAAAATAACAAATGCTGACGAGGATGTGGAGAGATTGAGACTCTCATACACTGCTGGTGGGACTGTCAAATGATACAACCACTGTGGAAAGCAGTATGGCGATTCCTTAAAAAGCTGGAATTAGAAATACCATTTCACCCAGAAATCCTGTTACTAGGTGTATATCATAAAGAAGTGAGAGCCAGGACAAGAACAGATACATGAACACCCATGTTCACTGCAGCACTATTTACAATAGCAAAAAGATGTAAACAACCTAGGTGCCCGTTAAGAGAAGAATGGATAACCAAACTATGGTACATACACACAATGGAATACTATGGAACACTAAAGAATAATGTAGAATCTGCAAAACACCACATAACATGGATGAACTTGGAGGACATTATGCTGAATGAAATAAGTCAATCACAGAAGGACAAATATAATATTAGTTCATTATTGTAAAAAGTCAAGGAAAGGTTTATGTATGGAAGGAAACTTTCTTTGTTGGTTACCAGGGGTAGGATAGGAGGGGAGGCAACACTGAAAAAAAAAAAGAATTGACCCATGTCACTTTAGTTTTGTGTATTTTGCTGTATGTAAATTATATTTCAATAAAATGTATTTTAAAAAAGAAAAAAAGATACAGGTCTTTAAAAAAAAAAAAAAAAAACCTAATAAAAGGCATCCAAATCAGAAACGAAGACATAAAATTGCCTCTGTTTATAGATGATATGATCCTATATGTGAGAGAAAACTATTAGAGCTAATAAATGAATTCAGCCAAGTTTTCAGATTAGAACAGTACACTAAAATCAGTTGTGTTTCTATACACCAACAGTGAAAATCCAAAAGAAATTAAGAAAGTGATTCCATTTACCGTAAGATCTAAAAGAGTGAAATATCCAGGAATAAATTTAACCAAGGAGGTGAAAGACTTTTGCACTGAAACTACAAAACACTTCTGAAGGAAATTGTAAAAATCCATTGCCGTTGAGTCAATTCTAGCTCTTAACACCCCTCTAAGACAGAGTAGAACTACTCCATAGAGTTTCCAAGACCATAATCTTTACCAAAGCAGACGGCCACATCTTTCTCCTGTGTAGTGGCTGGTGGTTAGCAGCTGAGCACTTAACCACTGTGCCACCAGGGAATTATAGAAGACATAAATAAATGGAATGGCATCCTTTATTCATGAACTGGAAGGCAAGATGTCAGTACTACTCAAAGCAATCTATGGATTCAATGCAGTCCATATCAAAATCCCAGCAGCCTTTTTGCAGAAATGGAAAGCCCAATCCTCACATTTGTATGGAATTACAAGGGAACCCAAATAGCCAAAACAATTTTTTAAAAAGAAAAAGTTGGAGAATTCACACTTTCCAATGTTGATGCTTAATACAAAGCTACAGTATAATCAAAACCACGTGGGACTGGCATAAGGAGAGATATGTCGACCAATGGAATAAAATTGAATGTCCAGAAATAAACTCATACATCTATGGCCAGTAGATTTTCAACAGGAGTATGAAGTTCATTCAGTGGAGAAGGTGGTGGGAAAACTGGATATCTACCTACAAGAAAATGAAGTTAGGCTCCTATCTTAAACCATAGATAAAAATTAACTCAAAATTAATCAAAGACCTAAATATAAGAACTAAAATTATAAAATTCTTAAAAGAAAATACAGGAGTACATCTTCATGACCTTGTATTTGGCAAGGGATTCTTAGAAATAACACGAAAAGCACAAGCAACAAAGAAAAATATAAATTGGACGTCATCAGAATTAAAAACTTTTTTGCATCAAAGGACACTATCCAGAACATGAAAAGACAATGTCCAGAATAGAAAATATTGGCAAGTCATGTTATCTAATTGTTGTAGTCTGCTGCTGCATTGATTCTGAGTCATAGTGACCCTATATGACAGAGTAGGACTGCTCTATAGAGTTTCCTAAGCTGTAGTCTTTATGGGAGCAGATCACCAGATCTTTTCTCCCATATAACAACTGGTGGGTTCAAACTACTGACCTTTCAGTTAGCAACCAAGCATTTAATCATTGTACCACCTCCAGGTCTCCTTATAGTATCTAGTAAGGGTCTAATATCCAGAAGATGAAAAGAATTCTTACAACTCAGTCACAAAAAGACCAAAAAAATTTCAGTTGAAAAAAATGGAGAAAGATTTTAATAGATAATACTCCAAAGAAGATAGATATACAATAGCCAAAAAGCACATGAAAAGAAGATCAACGTCATTAATCATTAGGGAAACACAAATCAAGCCCACAATGAGATACAACTTCATGGTCACTAGGATGACTATAATAATAATAATAAATTGTAATGAGAAGTAACAGGTGTTGGCAAGGATGTGGAGAAATTGAAACTTAACATTGCTAGTGAGAATGTAAAATGATGCAGTCACTTTGAAAAGCAGTTTGGCTGTTCTTCAAAAGTTTGGAAAAAAAATAAAAGGATAAGCTAAACATAGAATTACCACATAAACCAGTAACTCTATTCCTAAGTATGTATCCAGAGTAAGTGACAACAGGTATTCAAACAAATACTTGTACAAGAGTGTTCATAACCAACTGATGAATGGATAAACAAAATGTGGTCTATCCATATAATAGAATGTTCTTCAGCCATAAAGAGAAATGATGTTCTGATACATGCTACAATGTGGATGAACTTTGAAAACAGTATGCTAAGTGAAATAGGCCAGGCACAAAGGACAAATATTGTATGATTCCACTTATATGAAATTCTTAGAATAGGCAGATTCATAGAGACAGAAAGTAGGATAAAAGTCATCAGAGGCTTGGATTAGGAGGAGAATGGGGAATTACTGCTTAATGGGAGCAGATTTGGGGAATTACTGCCTAACTGGAGTCGGAAACGACTCGACGGCACTTAACAACAACAACAACAACAGGTGCAGAGTTTCCATTTGGGTGATTAAAAAAAATGGAAATAGATAAAAGTAGGGGTTGCACAACATTGTGAACTTACTAAACACCATTGAATTGCACACTTGAAAATGGTTAAAATGGCAAATTTTTATGTTATTTCATCATGAGAGAAAGTTAAGGAAACAAAAGCCTGGGTGGAATATTCATCAAGAGTAAAATAAAAACTAAATTATTCTTAGTTGACAATAGAAAACTAGATAACATTGAAAATAAACTATAGTAATGGAACAATAGCCTTACTAGAATAAAGTATGATTTCATTTATTTAAAGATAAAGATCAGATAAAAATAAACTATAGTGATTAGGAATATATATTTTGATGGTAAAACAGTAAGAGCAAGGATGTGATTACTGTAAGTCACATTAGTGCTCACATCCCAAAAAAGGCAGGGGATTGTGATGGACTTCAGGGTATTGGTGATGTTCTGTTTCTCTACCTGGTTGGTAATTATATGAATTTCTTTACAGACCAGGCATTAAAAGACTGCTCGAACAGAAACTGTAGCATTTATAGAAGTGATTTCTTCTGCAATCACCTTCTGCAGAATCTTCTGGTGCAAGCCAGTAGAAGTCGCTAGAGTTGGATTCAGCTCGATGGCAGTGGGTTTGGTTTTTGGTGGGTTGTTGTTAGGTGCCATCAAGTCAGTTCCAACTAATAGCAAATCTTTCACAAAAAAAAAAAAAAAAAACACTGCCCAGTCCTACACCGTCCTCACAATCATTGTTATGTGTGAGCCCACTGTTGCATTTTGTGGGCTATAAGGTGTTAAGCTTTCCTTTGCCAAACTTTCTGACAGATGGATAGATCATAAGATGTAGCTTGGGAATTGTTTTCCTTTATATGTTTTAAGTAACTGAGTTCCATTTGTTTCATTCTTGGATAAGTTTCTCCCTCATGTCTCTGCCTTTTCAGTGTCTGAGAAATCTGTGGCATTTCTTTGATTAGAAAACATATTCCTAGTATTGACTCTGTTCTCTAAAAGATAATTTACTCTGGGCCAAACTGCAGAGACTCTTCAGAATCAGGTTCTTCTTCCAAACTGTTTCCCACGAACTGATTATGGCAGGTGCGCTGGTCTGGAAAGGAGCAGAGAGTAGATTTATGAGGTCCACCAACTGCTGTGCACCTGGGTCGAGTTTTCTACAGACTTCCATGACCCCTGGTGAGAAGGCAGGCACTGTGTCAGATCCCAGCTGTATCTCAAAGTTGTGGAAGAGTTCCTAAAGAATTCTTACTGCTTGGAATTATTTCAAGAAAGGTTCTTACATCATTACCTTTGGAGCCACTTATTTGTGTTTCTGGTTTAAAAAAAAAAAAAAATTCATTTTCATTTGATCCCAAATGCTCTTGAATTAAACTGTTTTGATAACAGTCCACAGATCCTTAACTCTGGAACCTCAGAAAACTGTTCTGAAATCATTTGATGATTCTCTCAATAAGAAGACAGTACTGCTCAGTAACCATTTGGATGTTTAAGAAAAAGTTAAATAAAAACAAAGTGCCTGTCTCCATAGCTGAAATGGCCCATTGCCTGATTTTAGTGCAAAATATGCTGTTACTTTGCCCTGCGTGCTGGGACATGTGAGTTCCTAGCCATCTTCAACACATCTCCTTTCCTTTTCCCCCACTCCTGTAGGCCTTGGAGTACCTTTTCAAGTTCATCGTGCAGTCACGGATCCTGTACTCACGAGCCACATGTGGGATGGAGGAGGAGCAGTTCCGGTCCAGCATTCAAGAACTTTTCCAGTCCATCCGGTTTGTGCTCAGTCTGGACAGCAGAAACTCAGAAACACTCCTTTTCACTCAGGTCTGTGAGCTGCTGGGAAGCTTTGCTGCTGAATTCTTTGTCTGTCTTAGCAAGTTGTTTCTTTGTGCTCAGGCTTCCAGAGTTAAGAATTCCTGCCAGGATCTATGGCTAAGAATTAGGATTAGATTCTATTAGAAATGTCAGTGTGGGATAGAAATTTGCTTCCTTATGTTAAAAATAACCTCGCTGGCCAATCTGTTACCATTTCCATGCAGCCTTGCCCTCAAAAGAATCAAGGATATTATTCATTATACTCTACCATAAAGGGATTATTACCTCTTATGAAATTAATGTCAGCTTTTTATCTAATGAATTATATATGTTGTTGTGGTGGTGGTAGTGGTGGTTATTATGTGCCATTGAGTCGGACCTGACTCATAGCAACCCCTCCTTGGGTTTCTGAGGTGGTACATACTTCTTTAATTTTTAAAAGCCAGTTATTACTCCAAAACTAAACAAAGACCAGCCTCTCTCGTGTCTGTTCTGTCTGGTGCAGCTAGTTCTTTCCTTAGTATGTTTAAACTCCATCTTATGTAAGAATATTCTACTTTTTGTTTCCACTTGTACCTGTATTGCCCCTTGATGCCAACTGCCCATAGAGCCCTCGGCCTGGAGCCCCACAGCAAAACTGGGAGCTAAAAGTGGAAACACCTCAAGATCACGAGATGCCTGTATTAGGATGGCTCCTTCCATGATCTCCTCTCCCAAGTATCCAAACTACCTGTGTTCCTCTACCTGCTCCTTCCCAAACCCATTTACTCCTGCCAACAGGGACACATGACATCTATCCCTCCCCTCGGCCAGCAAAGAGATATGCGGAGCTCAGAGCTAGATAGTAGAGCAAGGCAAATATTCTTTGAGAGAACTTCACAATACCCTGTACCCAATGACATGCTTCTGCCATATCAGGATAAGCTTAGACCTTCAGCTTAGAGCTGAGTCAGGATCAGGCCTTACTGCTTGTAGCCAGAATCATGTTTCATGAGTTCATGACTCTCAGCAAGAATATTATTTAGTCAAGCTTTATGTCTTGGATTCTGAGCACTAGAAGATATTAGAGTACAGGATCCTTCTGTCGTGGTGCTTAAGTGTAGGAAATGTCATTATTTAAAAGAGTAAATAAGCTACTGTTTCTTATTAATTATGAAGTGTCTACTTTCTCTTTTATCTTTGTATCTAGCTGCTTATACTGGTACGTTTTCGTGCTGGTTCTAATAACTACAAAACAATCTCCTTGATATCCCAGGGAGTTATATATCTGCAAGTAGAATTCAAAAAAGTTCCATATTCAGCCCTGGCCTGAACATAAGACCACAGTGTGGCAGGCTTGCTTCTCCATGGCCTAAATTGTCACTTACTATAGGCCAGTGCCTGCTGCTTGATGGAACAGTTAAGAAAAGCAGCCCCTTCCCCCACCTGCCACTTGGGAAAAGTAGGCTCTTGCCTTCCTGTTTCAAGAAGGCACTCTATTTTCTCGAAACCTAAAAACCAGACCCCACTGCCATCAAGTCAGATCTGACTCATAGCAACCCCCATTGGTTTTCCAAGTCTGTAAATCTTTATGGAAGTAGATTGCCTTATCTTCCTCCTACAGAGCAGCTGGTGGGTTTGAACTGACAATCTTCTGGTTAGCAACCAAATGCCTTAACCACTATCTTGGGTCAATGATGTGAGAGGACTGAGAAATAAAAAAAGCGTCCTTCAGTCTGCTTTCATTTAATTGAGAAAAGAACAAAATCAACCTTTATTAAAGGCCTGTTGTGTGCTAAGCACTCTACTGGAAACTTTATGAACCTGATTTTCTGCTCATAACAATACCAGGATATAAGTAATAGCGTCATCCCCATTTTACAGATGAGAAAACAGAGGATTAGGCAATAACTTGCCCAGCGTTACATAGCAGGTTAGTGGTAGAGCTGGGATGTAAACTTACATCTGTCTAATTCTAAAACCCATTTTTTTTATCCTACACTGTTCTACTCCCAAAGGCTGAGGAACTATTAGCAGATTGTCCTCAAGTAGCCACCTAGAAGAGCTCCGATCCTAGAAGAGAATGCTCCTCACACACACTCACTCACCAGATCTCCTTGTGTGGGTTGCCCACATCACTGGATCCTCTATACCATCAACAGTCCACAAGAGTTCATGGCTGACTAAATCTATACATTTTCCATACTTCTGAGTTTTTACTTGAGATTGCCAGGCATTGTGGATGAAGGAAATAATTTACAAAGTCTTCAGATTTTATGATTGTACGTAAATGCCTGTGACCACTGGGGAAGTAGTCCACTCTCAGCTGCATAGTTGACTGGAGGGCTGCGAGGGGTTCAGCCAGTGCTATCGGAGATGCTCAGCACTTTCCAGCCATGCTTTCTTTGGTAGGTTCCTGGCTTGAGTTTGGAACCAAAGTTGGAAAGTCAAGGGCTTAATCATAAAGACAAACAAAAAATCTAAATCCATTTTATGAGCAAAAACAGCTATGGATGTTAAGCCACCTTGAGCAAGTTTCTCTTTATAATCCCTTCTCTTGTCAGCAAATGCCTTGTCATGTTATGAAAATTTCAAGTGGCCAGGGCCCCAGTAAGTTCTCTTGCTTTGTTTTTGGTTCCTCTTGCTCTGAGTACCAGAAATGGTGCAGAGCTGGGCAGTGTCAAGGCCCAAGGGGAGCCTACCTGAGCCAAGGGTGTCACAGTGCCTTCTCAACCTCTTTACCATGTGGTATCATTGCCTAAGCATGTGAGATAGACACACGCCTAACTGTGAGCTAACCACAGCTTTACTTGCTTCCTCAGGCTGCACTCCTCAATTCCTTCCCAACCATCTTTGATGAGCTGCTACAAATGTTCACCGTGCAAGAGGTGGCAGAGTTTGTGAGAGGGACACTGGGGAGCATGCCCAGCACTGTGCACATCGGGCAGTCAATGGATGTCGTGAAGCTTCAGTCTATCGCCAGAACCGTGGATAGCCGCCTGTTTTCTTTCTCAGGTAAATCAAGTTGGGGTGAGAGTCAGATTTACCTTTCTTCCTTTCCTGGCGATGTTCAAGTAGCAATCAAAGGATCAGTTTTATCAACCATCATGCAAAAAGCCAGTGGCTGTAAAATGCAGAGCTTTGGTAAACTGTGTTAGAAAATGCAGCCAAGACCTAGGCCTACTATCTCATTCATAGTGTATTCTAAGAGACCTATACCCTAGAGGATGTCCATGGGGTGGTCCACAGAGCAGCTTTCAGGCCCACAAGTTCATCCAGCTTCTAAGAATGGGACCCTTTCACATCTCTAGCAGAGTGAAAGGGTAAAGGGAAAGGAGACGGGAGCAAGAGAAAAGGGTCCATCCAAAGGGGATAAGACAAGCTAAGAAAATAAAAGGGACCCGGATAGGGGACCCTCAGGGCCTGCTGTGCTTTCCTGATTCCTTGTCTGACCAGTCAGAGAGATTCTTCTTCCAACCTTAAGAGGCTCTGTTATAGGTGACAGAAAGAGAGATTGACAGGGAGCTCTCCTTGTTCTCCAAGGGGTCAGAACAGCCTAACAAATGCCACCAGCAGCCCAGACTGCCTTTCAGAGAGAACCTCCAGATTCATCCCTGAAACCCAGTTGTATGTGATCAAGTTGGAGGTGACCAAGTTTGGCCTTGCAGAAGCACCAAATACACAATGGCTAATGGCTAAATGTTAAGATCAATATGAGGCTGATGCTTTAGTAGAATATCACTATCATAGTGATTCCCAACTTCTGGACACAGGAATAAATGTAAAACACTAGCAAAACAAGTATTATTAGAATTTTTATATTTAAATTTTTTGGTGGCTAATTTTTTTTTATTTTATTGTGATTTGGGTAAAAGTTTACAGAGCAAATTCGTTGTTCAAATTGATTGTCAATAAGTCTTCCTCCAATCTTGATGCCACGTTCTTCTTCACATAGTCCAACTTCTCAGATCATTTTCTCAGCATACAGATTCAATGAGTATGGTGAAAGGGTCCAACCCTGACACACACCTTTCCTGATTTTAAACCATTCAATATCCCCTTTTTTTCTTAGAACAACTGTCTCTCGGTCTTTGTATAGGTTCCTCATGAGTGCAATGAAGTGTTCTGGAATTCCTGTTTTTCATAATGTTATCCATAATTCATTATGATCCACACAGTCGAATGCCCTTGCATAGTCAATAAAACACAGGTAAACATCTTTCTGGTATTCTTTGCTTTCAGCTAAGATCTGCCTGACATCAACAATAATATCCCTTTTTCCATGCTCTCTTCTGCATCTGGCTTCAATTTCTGGAAGTTCCCTATCAATGTATTGCTGCAACCATTTTTATCGTAATTAAGATATTATTGGTATTAATTATTTTGTTCAATAATTTCCACTTCCCTTTCTTTGGAATGGGCACAAGTATGGATCTCTTCCAGTCAGTTGGCCAGGTAGCTGTCTTCCAACTTTTTTGGCATAAATGTGTGAGCACCACCAGTCCTGCACCCATTTGTTAAAATATCTCAATATATTTTCTGTCATTTTGTGGGACCTTGTTTCTTGCCAATTCCTTCAGTGCAACTTGGATTTCTTCTTTCAGTACCGTTGGTTCTTTATCATATGCTACCTCCTGAAATGGTTGAACATCAACCAATTCTTTTTGGTACAGTGACTGTGTATTCCTCCCAACTTCTTTTTTTATTACTATTTTTATTTTTATTGTGATTTCGGTGAAAGCGTACAGAACAAATTCACTTTCCATATAGCAGCTCACATACACTTTGTCTCATGACATTGACTGCAGTTTCCCACAATGCAACAGCTCCCCTCTCCATCCTCCCCACAGTTACCTTTTCCCTGTGTCTTTCCCTCCCATGTGCTCCTGTCCCTTGAGCTGTCTCCCTGTACATACACAGCCACCCTGTTCTCCCATGATTGATCTCTCCAAGAAGTGTATCTACCTAATGTAAACATTCAGCTCATTTGCCTGTCTTTTGTTTGGCTGGAAGCCACAGGTATGGGTTCAATTCCAGACCTGAAGGGCACCTAGAGGCCATAGTGTCAGTGGTTCCATCAGGCTCCATCAGACCAGCAAACCTGGTCCCTTTTTATTTTTTTTAATGATTTTGAGTTTTGTTCTACATTGTTCTTCTACTATCCAGGATCTCCTACATAGATCCCATTCTGATTGGTTGACATTGGTAGCCGGGCACCATCTAGTTCTTCTGGTCTCATAGTCATATAGGCTGAGGATCGCATGGTGTACCAGTCCCTTGGACTAATTGTTTCATGTGTTTTTAGTTTCTTCATTCTTCTTTGCTCTGGATGAGGAGAGATCCATCATTGCACCTAGATGGCCACTTGCAAGCTTTTAAGATCCCAGTTGCTACTCACCAAAGTAGGATGTGGAACAATGTTTTTGTGTAGTATGTTATGCAAGTTGAGCTTGATGTCCCCTGCAACTATGGTCCCAAGCCCAAAGGTCCAAGTACTCATTCCCTTTGGGTAGCTGGCAGTGGCCAAGAAGTGACTACAACCTTGTCCTTTGTTAGTTCTACTATATACCTGGAAATTCTTACAGAATATTCAGATATACTTGTAGAAGTGTTGCCTTCCAACCCTATACAGGGTATTCTTGGGCACACTCCCCCCTATGTAGACATACCTAATAGCTCATCCTGTACATCCATCTATCCACCCATAGATCAGGGAGCTCTGGTAGCATAGTAGCTAAGACACTTGCCTGCTAACAAGACGGCTGGCGGTTCAAACCCACCAGCCACTCCTCGGAAGGAAGGTTGGGCAATCCTACTTCCATAGTGATACTGCCTCAGAAACCCAAGGAGGGGTCACTATGAGTCGGGGCCGACTCGACGGCACATAACAACAACAACAACAACCCATAGATCAATGTTTGCCTTCACTGACAACGCAGTACTGTATGTGCAGAAGGGTTCGTCTTTGGTGTCCGTATCTTCTATGCACCTCTCTATGTCTTCCTCCTCCTTAGTACCACTGTGTTGATCACTCACATTTGGTACATTGCCTTTCCCTTCATCCAAATCAATACTTGTCTCTACCTATCTAACAGTGTTCCCTCCCCTTCCCCTCCAACCCCTGGTAACCAACAAAGAAAATTTCCTTCTATATATAAACCTTTTCTTGACTTTTTACAATAATGGACTAATACAATATTTGTCCTCCTGTGACTGACTTACTTCACTCAGCATAATGTCCTCCAAATTCATCCATGTTATGCAGTGTTTTGCAGATTCTACGTTATTCTTTAGGGTTGTGTGGTATTCCATTGTGTGTATGTACCATAGTTTGGTTATCCATTCTTCTACACACCCTATGTGCCCTACAACCTTGTCCTTTGTCAGCTCTACTATATACCTGGAAATTCTTACAGATATACTTGTAGAAGTATTGCCTGCCAACCCTATACAGGGTCTTGGGCACACTTCCCCCTGTGTAGACATACCTAATAGTTCAGCCTGTACACCCATCTATCCACCCATAGATCAATGTTTGCCTTCACTGACAATGCAGTACTGTATGTGCAGAAGGGTTAATCTTTGGTGTCCATATCTTCCATGCACCTCTCTATGTCTTCCTCCTCCTTAGCACCACTGTGTTGATACTAAACACCATAGGGTGTTTCCATCTTTTTACTATTGTAAATAGTGCTGCAGTGAACATGGGTGTGCGTATATCAGTTCTTGTTCCTTCCATCTTCTTTTCGTGCTTTCTGCATCATTCAATATTTTGTCCACAGAATCCTTCAGTATTGCAACTCAAGGCTTG